AGTTCACACTAAGTACTTCCCCTTCTCCAAGTTTATTTAAATGCTGAACCAAATACACCTGCCATGTCCAAATCCTATGCAGTAAAGCTGGGCCTGAAACAAGACACAAGGCTCTGTCCTTCTGACACAATAATTCACGTGAGCTTTATAATCTGGACTATCCAGGTACCTTATTAGCACATGGAAACCCCCAAACTCTTTACTTTTGATAGTGTAGTCTTTTGTTTCAGTGTTTGTATAAAGCTGTCTTCCAGGATAAGCAGTAAGTTTAGAATGAATCACAATTAATAAATCTTTCTCTCTTTTTAGAAAGAGCTGATCTCTCATCCACATAAGCCAAAGATCAAAACTGATCAAGGAAGGTAAAGAAAATACTTAATAGAAGTTTTGTTTGGTGTTTTTTTTTCCTTTGTTTAAATAGTCAGGCCCTATTTTGAGGGGAAAGGTGTTCTGTTTTATTATTATTATTTTGAAAATAACCTCTCAGTTTTACCCTATTTTAATACCTATTATTATAAAATTCAGGCATGAAAAAGCTGCTGCTGTTCTGAAGGGCAATGAAGGGAAAGGAGGAGAAAAGAAAGCCAGGGAAGGTCAAGGAGGGACAGGGCTCTGCTCATCCCAAAAATCTTCATCTCCTTCCTCAACCACAGTCGTGTCAGTCAGGTGGGAGCTAGGAGAGCAGCCCTAGAGGTGTGTTTGGGCACGGGCCAAGCTGCAGTGTGAGGAGGTAAAAAGAATAGCTCCACTCACCATTGAGTTGTTCTTTATTCCTAAAAATCCCTCACCTGACAAGGTACCTCACAGCTCTTGATACAGCATTTCTTCCTTGTAAAGAAGGTCATTTCAGTTATTGAAGTGAGGACACTTTTCTCACCCTGGCACCATTTTAAGCCAAATGGTGTCAAAGAATATCCACAACTTGAAGCAGTGGATCTGCAACTTCCATCTTAATCTATGAAAGCTGAGAAATGACCTACAGGAATTCATTCTAAAAGCAACTATTTCAGGAAAGTACTGAGCATTAGGTGGAATTCATTTCTAGTATGACCAGGATCTCTCAAGTCAGCTATAAAAGATAAACAGAAGAATCTGAAGAAGTGAAGAGACTGGAAGAGTGAAGCCTGCTGAGGTGGGCAGCTGCAGAGAAGGTGTAAGGGAAGAGCATACAAACCCTTTCATCCATCACCAGATACAGCAGGGAAGCTGAAGATGCCTTGAAGCTGTGCCAAGGACAACTGGTGGAGATCTTTACCTGAAATGAGAGTTAATTGCATGGGGAGGGTGAATATTCATGCTTTATGTAGCAGCTTATGGCCTGTGAAGAAAACTGTTTATTAAACTACTACTACTTTTTTTTTCTTTTAAACATTTGAATCTGAAAAATACACATCACTGTGTTTGCTGGAGCAAACTCACCCTGAGCACAGGGTATTGATTAGTGCTGCATTTAATTAGAATAATTGTATTTTTGTAGTGGTCTGCAAGCACTCATTACTAGGAAATATGATCATGCCAATTTTACTAATGTCTCATACAGTATTTATAGTCTGTATTGACCAAGACCTGTTTCCAGTAGCAACTCAAATAATGGCTGAGAAAATATTTTACATTTTAGGAGCTACATTTGTAAAAATATTTTTCCATGTTTCCACTTTCTTCCTGATTCTTTTTTCCTTCAAGTAGGTCCCATTTTTCTTGTTGCTCCTCTGAGTTCAGCAAACTCACTGATGTTTCATGTAGATGAGCTGTGACTGCCCTACCAAACTTCCCCTGATGTGGTTCTGTTATTTCCAGCAGGCTGAAGGTGGCTGAAGATGACCTGATGGATCAAGAAGAAGTAAAGGCCCTTAAATAGTTCAGCTAAACTGCCTGGTAGAGAGAATAAAGTGTTTCTTGGCCTCAGGAAAGAAAAATACCCAGCTGTCAGAACTGTGATGCTTTGGACTTCAAGGCAAGGGATTTTCTTAAAATAATTAATCTCCTCTTTTAAAACTCCAGGTAGTGTTCCTGAGCAGGAACTGGGGCTCTTGAAGATCTTGTGTGTGTCTGTCATGGTGCTCTGCCCCTTTCTGCAACCTGCGAAAAGCTTTTGGAGTTTGAGCCATTCAAAATGTTAGCTGGAGGGTCAGTGATCCCGGAACCAGGTGCGCAGCAGCTTCCTGACCTCCAGGAAGCAGGCTCAGCATTTATGGATGCGGGAAACAAAAGTCCCCGGGCTCTATTTGGAGTTTCTTAGCTGCACATCTGTGTGGGCTCAGCCCGTGTTTGCAGGGGCTGCGGGTGCGGTTTTTACCGCGCACAGGGCGCGGTGGGTGCTGAGCTCTCCTGCCCTCCCCCCTGGCCTCTGCCGGGGGACTGGGAAGTTCCACAGCTGGAAGGAACAGGCTCGGGGGGTGATGTGCGCGCAGGCTGGGCAGGGGGACCAGCAGCGAACAGCGCAACAACCAGGAGAGCTGC